CAGTATATATACTTGCTTTAAAGGGATATTATACAGTATATATACTTGCTTTAAAGGGATATTATACAGTATATATACTTGCTTTAAAGGGATATTATACAGTATATATACTTGCTTTAAAGGGATATTATACAGTATATATACTTGCTTTAAAGGGATATTATACAGTATATATACTTGCTTTAAAGGGATATTATACAGTATATATACTTGCTTTAAAGGGATATTATACATGATAGTATATATACTTGCTTTAAAGGGAGATTATTCAGTATATATACTTGCTTTAAAGGGAGATTATACAGTATATATACTTACTTTAAAGGGAGATTATACAGTATATATACTTGCTTTAAAGGGAGATTATACAGTATATATACTTACTTTAAAGGGATATTATACAGTATATATACTTGCTTTAAAGGGATATTATACAGTATATATACTAACTTTAAAGAGATATCATACAGTATATATACTTACTTTAAAGGAATATTATACAGTGTATATATACTAACTTAAAGGGATATTATACAGTATATATAGTTACTTTAAAGGGACTGTTAACGTAAATTTAAGTCACCACAGATTAAAGGATTCACAAGTTCACAACACTACCCTTAACATCTTTATTTGAGAATCAATAAGAAACGTAAATTGTCGTGTTTAATCTTGATTTTATAAAGAACCCACAGTTGAAAATTGTTAATTTTAAGATAGAAAAAACAATATCTTCCTAAGTTTTGCTCTGGCTAAGGATTATCTAAGGGTACCGTTGTAAATCAGAAAATATTTTAATTTGAGCGAATTAGAAAAATTCTAATAATTTAAAAAACCCATCGTTAACCAAAGGAATAACTCACAATTTTTTTCATGTTTAAAATGGATGTAATTGATTTGTGTACTAAAAATTGATACAAATTAGGCACATATTTATTTTAGCTCTGTAAATTCGACTTGGCTAGTTCCCTCTTTTTAGGGAATGTTTTTTATTTGAAATCAGAACAATCGTTTGGCACGTTGTGGCGTTTTAATCAGTATTTTAACGTGCTCTCAGCAGTCTAGAGATGGGCGCGTTCGGCTTTTATCATATCGTTTGTTCATCGTTTATGAAAAGTCCATTTCGTTGGTTTTTTCTTTCAATCGTTCAAAAAATAATTGAATTTGTTTGTTCTAAAAATTATAAGTAAAAAAACGAAGAAGATCGTTCGAACGATTTAATTTTCTTTAATTTCGTTCGTTAAAAAACGATTATTTTCTTATATCTCTGAACTATCCATTTCGTTCGTTCGTAGTTCGTTTTTTATGAACGACACGCTTTTTTAACGAAACATTTCGTTCGTTTTTCAAATGTTCGTTCGCTGAAAGAAATGATTCCCATCTCTACTCAGCACCAATTAAAGATATATACAGCTTTTAGACGTTTAAAGTTAGATCTTAAAGTCTTATAAAAGCCCAGACACGCAGAAATTCAGCTTTCTAATGTTTTTGAAGCAAATAGTTTTTCCATGTAGCTTACAAATCAACTTTTAAAGTAAAATTGGTCTGTCCAAATTTCTGCTGCAGAATTCATGTTCATTGGACTGATTAAAATCCTAACCTGAGTCTAACAGTCGTCTTCCTATTCCACAGATTTACGGGTCCTACTGTAACGCCCCCCCCCCCCTTTACTTTACTTATAGTTATATTATATATATGTGTAAGGTTGGAAGAGTGGGTGGAGATTAAGGAAAGATTAAAGATTTTATCCATAATAACAATCTGTAGTTGGGGGGGGGGAGGGATAGGGGGTGAAAATAGGTCGCCGCTTATATTTAACATGGCGATTTCATAACATTTTCGGTGATTCTGCGCAAGTTTACAGGGATTCTGTGCAAACTTACAGGGATTCTGTGCAAACTTACAGGGATTCTGTGCAAATTTACAGGGATTCTGTGCAAATTTACAGGGATTCTGTGCAAATTTACAGGGATTAGTATAGAGGGTTGGATGGATTATTGATAACAAGTATAGAGGGTTGGATGGATTATTGATAACATGGAGAGTTGGAGGTCATTATTGATATCAAGTATAGAAGATTGAGTAGATAGTTTTCATGTAAACAGTATGTCCACTTGTCCAGACACTAAAACAATTTAACCTCGATACCCTTGGGCTAAGTTCTATTGAAAATTAGCCTCATATAAAGAGGAAAGAGATAAAGAATTAGATTCTTATATTTATTGATTTCAATTTCCATGTCAAAATTCAAGGTTAAATTAAAACACGTTATTTAAGATAACACGGACATTGATACTTTGAAATTTGCAATATTTAATGTTGCTTATTCAAAACTTTTTGTTTGTTAAAAACAATACCTACATTAAATCTGAAATCAAGTAATGGATGAGAAAAATAGAGTTTTTATTTTATAGATATAGGGTTACCCGCAATTGATGAGACTTCAGAGACGATTGGGCGAAATTTTAATCAGTCTTTTTTTAGGAATTCATGGTTTCCTTCAGCTGTCAACTTGATTCTTTTTGTCAAATCATTTAAACATACATGTCATGTAACCTTTATTCAATCTCTAAAGAGTTAGAGGTCGTAATTGAAGTCGCTTCCTTAGTGGGTAACCCTGTATATAAAAGACCAACATTTAAGAAGGCTTTTTGCTCTCTTTCTGACATTTTTTTTCCGACGTCATAATAAAACATTAATAAACCTCAGAAATGTTACAAATTTGGGCTTAATGAATGATATTTTAGAAGTACATTTATTGCTTCTAGATGTAAATACATGATATATAACGAGTGTATAAAAGGAGAGGATGATGAGTAGGTCTTCTCTGGTTCCAGGTTTCGACGCTACTGATTTGCGGATTTTATAATCCTCTTTCGGGGATTTCATCCTCGGGGATTTCATCCTCTACAATATATTAATTAAATATATATATACATTCATATATGTACAGTATAGTAAGCAAGTACATAAATATTGTATTTATAAAACATAACAAAATGAAGTGTTTAAATAGGAAGATATTGAAAAAAGATGTAGATGTAGATGAAGAGATTGTACAAAAACACGACATTTTTCAAAAAGTGACAGATTAGGAATAGATATATATATATAAAATATAAGATTATACACATACAACCAAACAAAAGTAGAGCATATACAGGGTGACCACAAAAGGGCAATTATTTTTGCATTTATATCATTTATTTCACGCCCAAATCTTAGACTTTTCAATACATATAATGACTGCAAAGTTTTATTAATTTTTTTTGTGGTCACCCTGGTAAAGAACTATAGATAATTTTAACCAAAGTAGATGAGTATATATAGAAAAGTTAGGTTTAACCTTTGGTTTACCACTTCCAGAAGTCAATCAATCAATCACATGTTTCCGGGGGAAAACATCTTACATCATGCTTCTGCCAGAAAAGAAATTTGATTATTCCAATNGGTTATGAAATGTTTTTAGCTTTATAATAATAAAAATAAATATCTTTTACGTACAGTGAGACCCATTACACTGTGGAATATGATTAAAGACGACTGTTAGACTTTAAATTAGAATTTTCAAATAGTCTTATTACCATGAAACAAAGAAATTGTAAAATTAATTCGCGCAGACCAATTTCACTAGTTTATGATGATTTATCTAGATTCGAGTAAGTTGAATACTTAATTAGGATTCCGTAAATGTCGTCTTCCTATTTCACATTTTTATGGGTTTCCCTTTTTAAGTTCATCTTCCTAAAATTTGTTGAACCCCTTGAAATTGGAATTAATTGTTAACAATTGTGCTCCTGTTTTGGCTGTCATTATGAACTGCAAGACCGTGAAATATCTGAGGTGTTAAATTTGAAAAAAATTTTACCGGCTGGATGATTTCTTTCGTTTCCCAAGATTTGTAATTTCGTGGATTTTTGTAAACATAATTGGTTTGCCGTTATAAATTCGAGTGTCTTTTAATTTTCAGGAGGCTCAACAAAAACCTTAAAAATTTGTAAAATTCTTTACAATTTTATGTTGGTGCATGTGCCAAATTAACCCATCATCAGTCTTGTTTAGTTAACGGTATTGTTCTGTGTCTAAATATTTTAGCAAAAGAGATATTTTTACATTTTTATGTAAATTATGTCACTATGTGAAGAGAATATTGCATAGGTTTTGTATATATTTGCAAATTGTAAAACAATGCTTCAATGTCGTGCATACAGGGAATACAGGAGACTTGTCGAAATATCAAATAAGCAGATTTTCTTGAAACTTGCAAATTTCAGATTCCGCAAAAGAATTGAAAATAAAACATTTGTCTAAAAAAGGATAGGCAAATCTTGTAAAACAAAAACTTAAATGTATTTTTTAAACTTCACATATGGATCATATGTACTCCCTGAACCTGACCGTGACTAAACTTTGCTAAGACATTTGTACGCTAATATAAATGTATTCTGTAACCTTAAACCCTTATAAGCATTCTGTAAACCCCGTACACTGTACAGTTAAAATGAAAGAAACGTATATTTCTAGACTCACAGACTCACGCATTGCACAGATCGCCTTCTTTCATGCTTTATTGAAGATATATAATACGTTTGTGAAGTGAAAATGACATGTGAAATTTTGTCAGTTATTTGTTTACAGCTGTTAAATAATTTTTCAAATTATAATTTCAAAATTCGAGTGACATAAAATATGTTGGGTAATTTCCTAGAGGACAATTTTTGGACACCCCACCCCCCCTTCTATTCAATTTTGTACTTACATCTCATATGTCCTAGCCGGGGCGCCCTAGCCTGTCCTAGCCGTAGCGCTCGGCCCCTAGCCTGTCCTAGCCGCAAAGATTTTAGGATTTAGGAAATGTGAAAATACGGCTCCCACCACCGCAGTGGCAGTTGGCACCTCTAGATAATGGAAATAATGCGGGCGAAGCGCGACGACATTTTTATCCCTCTGTCAAAAATAATAATTTAATAAGAAGATTTTGGTCATTTGTTGTTGAAACCATGGCCATGGTAAAGTTGGGGGTGTAAAAATACTTTAACTTCTAATCATTTTTTATATATTTTTAAAGATAATTCTTTATTAATCGTAATTTAGTTGCTGCACCTAAAATGTTTTCACGGGGGGGGGGGGCGTTCCCCTTCTCCTCCCCTGTCACAATCTAAGATACATGCTATTTTAATAAAGAATGGCTGGATGGGGTGGGGAGGGAGGGGGGGTGGTTATGTCCGTGAATTTACCTCTATGCTTTCCATTATCAGTGTTTACTGTTTAAGGCAGTATTCTGAGCCTATACAATGGGGAGATGTTGCGTAATGTTGTAATTCTCATTATATTCACTGGTACTCATACACTTCATTTATCCATCAATCGATCAAATATCTATCTATCTATCTTTCTATCTATCTATATTTATATCTATCTATCTTTCGAATCAATTTGTGTAGGATTCGTACATCCTGTCAAATCGTGCAATATCCGTTTGTCTTCCCGTCTTAAACGGAATGTTCTAGGGAATTGAATTGGGGTAAAGGCAATGCACGAGGACCTCCCCCGGCACCTTTTGACTTTAGGAAATGCCGTACTCATAAAAGTTTGTCCCAAACTGTATTAGTCCAGGTACAACCCGCCTGCTATCAAAGTCAATCTATCTCGGTAGCTATCCAACAAGCTATTACTCAGGCTCTAAATGCCACACAGGGACACAAGCACTTAATTGTACATCCATGTACTGCAGTGGGAGGAGATCAAAACTATGAGTTCAGGGGCAACGCATTAGTTTTGAGGGAAAAGGGCCCAAGGGGTGGAATAAGAATATATTGCTATTGTATTTTCCATAATGACCAGAAAGCCCAAAATCATATATATTCGCTCTAACTGTGATAATAAATCAGAAATCAGAGAGGTGTAGTCCTTTCCCTGCGACTGCTGTGGGGGCTCTGGGTTTGTTTACATTCCTCTCACAGTGTACAGTACATAATATGTGTATATCTGAGTTGGGCGTTCCTGTATGACCTCCAGTATAGTTCCTTGGTTTTTACGTAGAAGTTTTCAAACATAGATAATTGATAATGTACAAATTACTGTAAGTTTACAGAATATCATGTGACCCGACATTTATTACATAACTAATCTAAAAATTGGCTGAAATTTACCCCCCCCCCCCCCCCCCCCC